CAAATGGGCCCTCTCAGGCCTGAAATGGCCCCTCTCAGGCCTCAAATAGGTCCTCTAGGGCCTAAAATGGGCCCTCTCAGGCCTGACATTAGCCCTCTCAGACCTGAAATAGGCCCCTCTCAGGCCTCAAATAGGTTCTCTAGGGCCTGGAAATGGGCCCAGGCCTGAAATGGGCCCCCTCAGCCTGGAAATGTCGAAAAAGGGCCCCCTCATACCGTAACTGGGCCCTCTCAGGTCTGAAATGGTGCCTGAAATGGACCCCTTCAGGCCTGAAATGGGCCCTCACAGGCATCAAATGGGTCCTCTTAGGCCTGAAATGGGCCCCTCTCAGGCCTTAAACAGGCCCTCTAGGGCCTGAAATACTCATACTCAATAATACTCATTCAAATGGGCCCTCTCAAGCTTCAAATGGTCCCTTCAGGCCTGAAATGGCCCTCTCATGCCATGGAACGGGCCCTCCTAGGCCTTGGATTAATTCAATCGGGTCTTGAATGTACCCTCCTAAATCATAAAATGGGACTATAAATCCTAAAGGGGGGGGGGGCTATCACGCCTGAAAGCTGTTTTTCAGTCCTATGACGGACCTTGACATTATGATAAAGAATTGTCAGGCTGCATAACGTTACAGTTCGAATCGACGGTGGGCCCCTAGGATAAGAGACGGGGGTGAGATCTCACCCCTTTCACCCCCCCCGCGCCACTGCTTATATAGTCCAACTCTAGTTAAATAATCAAGTAGCTACTAAATTTTCCAGATGTGACACATATTGCGCACTTCAGACAAGTACGTTGCTAGGGCGTTGCTAAGCAAGATTTTGCTCAGGACTCTTTCGCATGTTTTGCTGCCTGGTTTTTGTTATGAAGTGAGGGAAGTGAGATGGACGGGCTTTTTCTGGTTTTCTTGGACCGTCTCAATTATTTGACTTGACATACTTTTCTTGCTTTTTTATCCGAGACTTTTTCAATAATTAATTGGTAGATTGTAGCGTGGAAATAAAAGGGCGAGCAGGCCACAGGGGTAAATGCAAGTCGACTGATAGGAAATAAAAGGTAGAAGTGTCGTTCCATTAGAAATTTAATGTGATGTGATGGAACATGAAGCAACAGAGGATCAGACGCAAGAACCACCAATTAAACCCAGAACCAGCAAACGCCATGCAATCAAGAGCAGCCGTGGTAACGTTTTAATAACTTCCAGAAAACCTTGGATAAACGCCAGACGGTGAGCAATCAAGAGATCTTAGAAGACCAGTAGTTGAAAACGAGAGCCGCCAGGAAAATCAGATCCTTCAATGGCAACACATTTCAACATCCATCTAGCAATGATTGGCACCAGCGAGGCGCTATCATTGTGTTTTGTATCTGATTCTTCACTGCAAAAAAATATGTGTCAGTAAATATAAAACTAAAACAAATAATGCGTCTTTTTCTACTGAAAGTAAGTCCTAGTGGCAGGGGATGAATAATAGGACAGTGGGTATCCTAATGAGTTGCCTTCTATTCATTCAATTCATAGCAGGGCATCGAGGCAGCACCCTTACTGCATGGTACAGGTACTGCGGATCGTCCATGGATTTCTGGATGACTCCGACTCTGGCTCAGACTTTCGAAAATCAACTCTGACTTCGATTTTAAATGTCGAATCTGACTGACTCCAATTCCACAGACCTAGCAGGTCTACGGAAGCAATGGATTTTTGGTGACTCCGACTCCGACTCTGGCTTTCAACGACTCTGACTCTGACTCTGCTCAGAACTGTCGACTCCTACCGACTACAACTCTGACTACAGAACCCTGGTATAGGTCTGCGGAGGGATATAATTTCGGTGACTGACTCGAGACTCCAGCTTTCAAAATACTCTGACTCCGACTCGACGACTCAGGTCAGAACTGTCAACTCTGACCGACTTCATGACTCCGACTCCGGAGCCATACCGCCAGCTATCACGCCAGGGAGCTACAAATCGTATGTTCCGTGGCGGTTTATGGCATTAAAGTCGACAATGCGGCTGAATCGCACTATGAAACACATTTATTGGCTCCAAGAACCGCGCAAGTTAGCGCATCACCACTGGAAAACGTTAAAAGTTATCGATTAATTGGCCCTGGATTTGGATAAATAACATGTTGATGATCATATTAGCACACATTTACATTATCATCTATCTCAAGGCTGCCCTTCAGGCGGCTCTAAACTATGGCAACTTTCCCTATCTTCAACATGTAAATGCCCTCGGGCGTCCTCGTGGTGACGTAGGCATGGGAGTGCCAGGTTGGTAGGAACTAGACTTCGACGCTCCCTGGGTTCGCCAGACCCAGAGTTATTGTCATTTACAAAATCGGCGATTCGAATTTTGGCTTTATCTGTATAACGTGTGTAACCTGTGTAATAGCCTTAATCGTAGCGATACCAAATCAAATTTTTAAGATACTTTGCGTTAGTTAGTTTCGAACGATACCCAGTCTGCCTACAGCTAATGAGAAAACCGACATGGATGCCGTCTTATGATGTTCGATCTAACGTGAAATGCTTACGTGAATGACACACTCGTGACTCTGCGATCACTGATTGAATTATATTTACCAAAAAATCAAAGCCCTTCCTTGGAACGGTTGATCTGACCTGAGCGGTCACCGGCTGACTTGATACCTCAAAATCGGGCCCAGTCTCTGTCTCGTAACGGAGCACGTGCTCGCCTTTTCCGCAATGCTTTAGTGTTTTAATATGAAAATAAATCAAATAGCGAACCCAATCTTAAAGTGACCATCCCACCTTAACATTAGTTATAAGTTGAGATAGCCAAATTGGTGGCCATGGCCTGAAAATACCGGTTTGGGCACTCACAACATCGAAAAATGCTTTAATTCGGAGATATGGAATTTCAAACTTGCAGTTTTCGGATTCTAAGGGGCTAATGCAGGGGCGCGGGAACTACTTTCCGACTGGGGGGGGGGGGGGCACACCATTAGAGATTAACCTAGGGTACCCCCAAATCTAGTTTTCTCACCGGTTTTAGGCCACTTATTTTTCACCCCTCGGCTTTTTCAACAAAAAAAGAAAACATTTGCAAAAAAAGTGTGGTATTCCGTCTCAACGCCCCCACGGCCCCAGAGTTGGGGGGCAAGCTGCCCCCACTGCCCCCCCGGCTCCCGCGCCTATGGGCTAATGCATTGGTATGCCCCCTTAGAATTTGTGACGTTAGCGGAGATCTAACGATTTTTAAATCTTTTACTTAAACGTTTGGTAGCACGCGGTGGAATATGCTGCTTTGCGCGCAACAAATGCCGCACTTTCAAATAAAGTCGCTAGGAACAGCGGAGATCCCAAAAAGTAAACAAAAGTAAAAGTCTAATATTTTGAAAACCGGTGATTTTTTTTCGATAAAATTTGGTAGATATTATTCGTTTTTGCTCTTTCTGAACCTAGCGACATCACTTTTATGACAACTCATAAACTTTTTTGAAGGTTGGAGGGTCCCTTTAAATAAAACCAGTCTCAGCCCTCTGAACCGTCGTAATCTGATCGACGGGCAGGCTATCAAAAGCACCACATGCAATACCACTCGAGGCATGGATTAGCCACTGCATGCGATGGAATTGCCCCACGATGTGAAATAAATAAATAAATAAATGTTAAAATATGGGGGACACGGTGCCCCCCCCCCCCCCGTTCCGCCGCCTATGCCAGTGAAGATAGATTAGTTAGGACTTTTCCTGTCTACTACATACAACTGCACGTCTGCACACTATATAATATTTAGTGTTTGGGCAGGAACTAGTTATAATAGCCGAATTTAAACGTAACGTAAAACGAAAGACCTGGCCAATTGCCAGATAGTAACTCTTCCTCCCCGGCTACAGCCTCACGCTAGCCGGGTGACAAAAAGAAAAGAAAAAAGAAGATAGACTTACATGACAGCGACGAAAAATGGACGAGACGACCAGACGAGTGCAGACCTCGCCGTGACCGGTGTACCGCGCCGGGCCGCGGCGCGCCAGCCACTGACCCAGCTGGCCCGGGCCGCGGTCAGTTGGCCGGCGAGGTCAGCGCAGGGGCGCGTCCAGCGGCGCAGAGCGGGAGGGTCACACCACAGAGCCACGAGCCGGCTGCCGCGGACGCCACCAGCTGAAGGGGTGGTCCGAGCGCGGCTAGCCAACTGCGGCCGGCGCGCCGCTGGAGCGTGGCAGAGCTCGTAGCTGGCGCCGCGCGTGTCCCGTCCCGAACTGTCCCGACAGTACCGAACTGTCCCGTGCCGAACTGTCCCGAACTGTCCCGTACCGAACTGTCCCGACAGTACCGAACTGTCCCGTCCCGAACTGTCCCGTACCGAACTGTCCCGCGTCCCGAACTCTCCCGTACCGAACTGTCCCGTCCCGAACTGTCCTGTCCCGAGCGCCGGGCCGCACCCGCAGACACAGCCGATAAACCATCCATCGGATATCAATGAAAATAAAACTGTCTACCAAATACAGCCTAGAGTAACACAGGTGAAGGCAAAATTAGAAATAGGGTGCACTGCAAATCTAGGGCCCTGTTTCACCGGTGATAGCAGCACGCTGCTATCAAATTGCGCGAGCTGACGTAATGTGGTGACGCCACAGTAATGAGAATGACGTTTCGTGTAATCCGTGAGCTTTTTCATAGCTACGTTTGGAACAGAGTTGCTGTGTCGTTGAATGCGTTTGATTTGGTCGCACGGCCGTGAAGATGTTAGCAGCAATATTTGATGACATCACACAGTTTGACGACGCCATGGTTTCATGATGTTTCCATGGAAACCCAATTTGACACGTGTGGATAGCAGACACGTGAAACAGGGCCCAGTAGACTCACCAGCCCGCTGGCGAGTCTGAGCCATACGGCGGGTCCACTGTCCAGTGTCCAGTGTCCACTGTCCAGCCCCGCGCCGCGTCATATTCTACTTGTCTGCCGTTCGTGTAATGAAGTAGTTATTTTTTCATTACTCTTTCGCATCTCCAAAAATTGAAGAAAAACACACCATCGCTCAATCATTTATTGTTACATAACAATGGTCTAGAATGCATACAACAAAACAATAACAAGCACATGAAGGAGCGCAGGATCCTACATAATAGTCAACAGCAGGCGAGTCGTCTGTTCGAGTCGGGTGGGCTCAGGAGTCCGGCTGAGGGATAGGACGCTACGCGTGCCAGGTCCCCCGCGGACCGGTGTGTGGCGGTGAGCGGTCCTCTGACGTGGGACCGGTGGGACAGCCAGCCCCGCCGCTCCTGTCCCGGTGGGACCCAGCCGCTCCCGGCTCCCGCCGTCACCCGGATGGACCAGTCCACTGGACAGGACAGGGGTGCAGGTGGACCAGTCCTGTGGACAGGGGTGCAGGTGGACCAGTCCTGTGGACAGGGGTGCAGGTGACCAGTCCTGTGGACAGGGGTACAGGTGACCAGTCCTGTGGACAGGGGTGCAGGTGACCAGTCCTGTGGACAGGGGTACAGGTGACCAGTCCTGTGGAAAGGACAGGGGTGCAGGTGACCAGTCCTGTGGACAGGGGTGCAGGCGACCAGTCCACTGGACAGGGGTGCAGGTGGACCAGTCCTGTGGACAGGGGTGCAGGTGAGGTGACCAGTCCTCTGGACATAGAGGATGGATCACAAAAGGCAGAAACATGTCATAAAATGGACCTCTCCGTTTATGCAGTGGTCTATGTATGCTTCTTATGTTTATGCGCTAAGATTTCTGCTTATCACACGATAAATAACTCATTTAAAACACAACGCAGTAACCGAACGAATATAACGAGGTGCAACCCTCAGCTACATGTTTTCTGGGAGATATGAACAAATACGAGGAGACACGTAATATCAAGCTATGCTTACAAGGCAGCTTTCAGTCTCCCGAGCAGCCCCAGTAATTTCGATGGGGTCATATAGCGGGAAGTTACTTCAGCCTTGACGACTGGTAGTGCCACCTACAGCGCACAGTCGGCGGTGCTGCCACCTACAGCCGGCGGCGGCGGCGGCTCTAGGGGCTGACGCAGCGGCGCGTCAGCAGGTTCTGTCCGGCGGCCGTGCAGGCCAGCGAAAACGAGACCGTGGTCGACTCGTTGGTGCTCGTCGTGTACCACGTCACCACGTTGTCCACGGTGACGAAGCGCGTGGCGAAGAGGAAGATCCTGCAACGAGCCGAGCGGCGCACTGTCAGAGGGGTCCACTGTCAGAGGGGTCGGCGCACTGTCAGAGGGGTCGGCTCGAGCGGCGCACTGTCAGAGGGGTCGGCGCACTGTCAGAGGGGTCGGCCCGAGCGGCGCACTGTCAGGGGGTCCACTGTCAGGGGCGTCCACTGTCAGGGGGGTCCACTGTCAGGGGGGTCCACTGTCAGGGGGGTCCACTGTCAGAGGGGTCCACTGTCAGAGGGTCGGCCCGAGCGGCGGACTGTCAGGGGGGTCGGTCGGCCCGAGCGGCGCACTGTCAGGGGGGGGGGTCGGCCCGAGCGGCGCATGCACTGTCAGAGGGGTCGGCCCTGCAGACATGGGAGCGCCTGAAAAACCCGACTCTGTTCGTGCTGAACGGCTCAATAGCAGAACAGAAGGCGGATTGTCACAAATGCGTTTCCCTCATCTCCAACATATAGGTAAATCATACTATCATGAAGGACAAAGATAAATTATAAGCCTGACGTCATTCAAGTGAATGGCGAGATATTAGTGAATGACAAAGGACGATCCCAACGCCTGACGTGTGTGACCAATACTTCCAAAGAATCAAACCTTAAATGCTGTCACGAACTTCTTCCAGACGAGACCCCGCAGGCGACGTGGTACCCATGTCTGATCAGCGTCCAGGGTTACGTTACCGAAGCCGATTCAGGAAAGGGAAACGCTCGATTTGGACAGATATATTAACTGCCATTTGTAAATGATCAGACATGATTGAGTTTTATTCACGATCGATGGCAACACAAGTCAAATTCCTAAAAGCAGACGTTTCGGCCACACAGGGTGCCTTCGTCAGTGGACACTAGTGATTAATTAAATTAAAAACACATAGTATCAAAAACAATCGGTATAAATCGTTCGAAGTCGACACATCGGGCACAGGTTTCGAAATGCATTCTTTGGTTCAACATTAAAAACCTAAATTGAGAACGGCATTCATCACGCTATTGTTCTTGTCGCGTTCTTTTGATATGCTGAAAAATTAAATTATATAATGAATGTACCTACAGGTCACAATGTAAATGTCGGAACGTTTAATTCGCTCGCCTTTTCTCAAAGTCTTTCAAAGTTCGCCAATCACCTTTCGTTTAGAAATCGTTTACGTTTTGTTTCCTAGTGCCATCATTGCAGCCGCTTTTGCCCAGGTAAAGAATCCAGGTTTTTCGTTCACTGTATCTTGGAAACAGATATGAGCTGCTTCCAGAGCTTCTCTCACCGATTTTGACATGCCTTTTTCAATGACATGAGCACTGTTCCAGTTTGGTAAATTTTGACATTTTTCGATATGAAGGACGAGTGCGTTCGATCTATTGTGGTTCCGGACATCGCGTTTGTGTTCTTTCAGTCGTGTGTCGAGTCCTCTTCCAGTTTCTCCTATGTGTGATTTGTTGCATGGGCCCGAGCAAGGAATTTTGTATACCACACTGTTACTATCTTTCTTTTCAGGCTTCGGCTGAGTCAGATTTTCCACTTTTCTTCCGGAAACTATCGTTACATTCGATCCATTTGATCGAAGTTGTCGTGAAATCGAGTCGGCATGTGTTGAGTTTGGTATCGATATATATCGGCCACGTTTCTTCTCTTCTTGTCTTCGTTTTCGTTTATCTTCGGCGCTTCTCCTTCTGATTTCTTCCGCTTTCTGTTTCATTCTTAGTAGGAACCCTTTTGGATAGTGAAGCCGGTCGAACGTATCGAAAATGTGCTTCAGTTCGTCTTCTAAGAAGTCTTCGCTACATATTCTAAATGCTCGTAAGAAAAATCCGATAACGATCCCACTTTTCACTCGTTCGTTGTGAGCTGATCAAAAATGGACATAATCTTCTTTGTTTGTAACCTTACGATAAAGCGTGAATTTTGCTTTCTGTCCACATCTCATGATAAGGGTGTCTAAGAATGATATTTTTTGTTCGTTTTCTCTTTCGATCGTAAATTGGATCTTTTTGTCGACTTCGTTGAGGACTCGGAGTTTTTCGTCTAGGTCGACATCTTCGGGGACCACCACCAGAACGTCATCAACGTACCGGAGCCAGGTACAGTCTGCCCCCATGATGTTCTTGAATTTTTCTTCCTCGAGAAGTTCCATATAAAAACAAGCAGCCACGGGGCTCAGTGGGGACCCCATTGCGAGTCCGTTGTGTTGTACATATTCTTGTCCATTGAAAGTGAAGATGTTGAATTTCATGCACAGCGAAATTAATTCCAAGTAGTGAGTTCTCGGCAGTGGAAGTGATTGTTCGTCGATTATGCTAACCACCCTCGCTATCGCATCTAAAGCCCCATCTACCAATGTGCCGGTAGATGGGGCTTTAGATGCGATAGCGAGGGTGGTTAGCATAATCGACGAACAATCACTTCCACTGCCGAGAACTCACTACTTGGAATTAATTTCGCTGTGCATGAAATTCAACATCTCCACTTTCAATGGACAAGAATATGAACAACACAACGGACTCGCAATGGGGTCCCCACTGAGCCCCGTGGCTGCTTGTTTTTATATGGAACTACTCGAGGAAGAAAAATTCAAGAACATCATGGGGGCAGACTGTACCTGGCTCCGGTACGTTGATGACGTTCTGGTGGTGGTCCCCGAAGATGTCGACCTAGACGAAAAACTCCCGAGTCCTCAACGAAGTCGACAAAAAGATCCAATTTACGATCGAAAGAGAAAACGAGCAAAAAATATCATTCTTAGACACCCTTATCATGAGATGTGGACAGAAAGCAAAATTCACGCTTTATCGTAAGGTTACAAACAAAGAAGATTATGTCCATTTTTTATCAGCTCACAACGAACGAGTGAAAAGTGGGATCGTTATCGGATTTTTCTTACGAGCATTTAGAATATGTAGCGAAGACTTCTTAGAAGACGAACTGAAGCAGTTGAAGCACATTTTCGATACGTTCGACCGGCTTCACTATCCAAAAGGGTTCCTACTAAGAATGAAACAGAAAGCGGAAGAAATCAGAAGGAGAAGCGCCGAAGAGAAACGAAAACGAAGACAAGAAGAGAAGAAATGTGGCCGATATATATCGATACCAAACTCAACACATGCCGACTCGATTTCATGACAACTTCGATCAAATGGATCGAATGTAACGATAGTTTCCGGAAGAAAAGTGGAAAATCTGACTCAGCCGAAGCCTGAAAAGAAAGATAGTAACAGTGTGGTATACAAAATTCCTTGCTCGGGCCCATGCAACAAATCGTACATAGGAGAAACTGGAAGAGGACTCGACACACGACTGAAAGAACACAAACGCGATGTCCGGAACCACAATAGATCGAACGCACTCGTCCTTCATATCGAAAAATGTCAAAATTTACCAAACTGGAACAGTGCTCATGTCATTGAAAAGGGCATGTCAAAATCGGTGAGAAAAGCTCTGGAAGCAGCTCATATCTGTTTCCAAGATACAGTGAACGAAAAACCTGGATTCTTTACCTGGGCAAAAGCGGCTGCAATGATGGCACTTAGGAAACAAAACGTAAACGATTTCTAAACGAAAGGTGATTGGCGAACTTTGAAAGACTCTGAGAAAAGGCGAGCGAATTAAACGTTCCGACATTTATATTGTGACCTGTAGGTACATTCATTATATAATTTAATTTTTCAGCATATCAAAAGAACGCGACAAGAACAATAGCGTGATGAATGCCGTTCTCAATTTAGGTTTTTAATGTTGAACCAAAGAATGCATTTCGAAATATGTGCCCGATGTGTCGACTTCGAACGATTTATACCGATTGTTTTTGATACTATGTGTTTTTAATTTAATTAATCACTAGTGTCCACTCCACTGACGAAGGCACCCTGTGGCCGAAACGTCTGGTTTTAGGAATTTGACTTGTGTTGCCATCGACCGTGAATAAAACTCAATTAACTGCCATGCTAGAAACACATTGTGCATGTTTTTCAATCCAAAGGAGTGTGCTGTTTCGGCTCATCTAACGGTAGCAGGCTTGTTGGCACAAGATAATTGTAGATAGATAATTGACAAGATAATTGGCTTTTGTAATAATTAGCATCAGTTCCGGCTGATATTGTCGGTCTGCACCTTAATGAACGCTCCGGGGATCGGCGCCAGGCAGCGACAGCGGGGACGACCCGGCCGGGCTGATTACATTAGCCCATTCCAGGTGGTGCAGCCGCGAACAGACTGCTCCGGTCGTGTCGTCTGTCCAATGGTCTCATCCACCCGGATGAGATTGGAAATTTATACGCACTGCAGCACTACGCTCTCTAAAGAGGATCAGCGGGATAAAAGGCCTTTTCAAAATGTTTTTTTTTTTCATTCGGTCAATCCATACAAAGCTGACCACTGAACCTTTCCTCGCATTTCTAGACAAGAAATCCTTCCAAGAGAAGAATGTAACTACTTATATGCTTAGACCTTAGTTGTATAATTACAACTACTAGCTTTTATTGATAACTACCAGCTTGTACTGAAAGTTCAGTCTGATATCTATGTGCACGGATAAAACAATGAATGAATGTGGAACCTGGATGGAAAACTGCTAAATGTCCGTACCCCAGGCCATTCACATTCCAGTTCAGAGCCCTCCAGCGAGCTCTCCCATGGTTCACGAGAGGCTACCAGCCAATCGAAGAAGAATTTGATCTTTTTACAATGCACGAATCAAGTGAGCAGAGAACAGGGTGCAGGAGCGAGGATCGTGGTCATTTGGAGCATCCATTGACAACAGGGTGCTGAGGAGCGAGGATCGTGGTCATTTGGAGCATCCATTGACCAACGGACCAAGTGCAAACGATCGATCTTTATGCTACACTGTAAAAAAATGTAAAAATGTAATGTAAAATAAAACATAAAAATGTTCACTGTCTACTCGCACTTTATTAGTGAAAAGTGTCCGGATAACTAGGAAATTAGTAAACCTTTTTTACAGTGTACGACGTAACGGTACTTACCATAGCATCTGCATTTTCAGGGATAAATGAATACTTTGGTATCAGTAACTGGGCCGCTGAGCGCTGGGATTCGATTTCATTTTAACTCGTTCTTCCTTTTAACTCAAACGCAACATTTACAATAGCCATTTTACCGTTAATAGTGCTTCAACTGTCAATATAACACATTTACTGTGATGTTTTAACTCGTGCCCCGCTGGGCTATTCAGCCATACGCGCCCTGCTGGGGGGGGGGGGGGGGGGCAGATTCTCCCCACCCCCCCTGTCTAACTTCCGAACCGACGCGATGGTCGTATAAGGACGGGGAAAACGGCAATCGAAATCTCTCAACAAGGCGGATCTTAAGAGCTGATTTTTTTTTGCTTAAGTAGGTCAGAGGTCAGGTCAAGGCCAAGTCAAGGGTACAAAATGCAAGTTTCTACAGTATCGGCCTTGCATCGTTTGCCGAAGAATGGACTGAGACTGATTGCCCAAAACGTGTTCTTAGGCTACCAAGACAATATTCGTTGCATACAATATCATGCAAAGGTCAAGGTCAAGGTCAGGTCAGGTCACCAAAAACGAAATATAGAAAAGGGCATGTGTGACACATGTTTTATGGGTCATTTTATTTATAGGATTCAATAGGCACACTCAATAAGTGGTATTCACCACATCTGGATGAATTTTAGGTCGAGGCCAGGTCAAGGTCAGGTCAAATGAGGTCAAATTTATAAGTTGGTTGTTAAGACCTAAAAAGGTGTCTATCTAATGCAGTTTTCCACGGCGAATCGAATGTTGCCATTTTTTGTTTCCGTACGACGTCTAGAACTTCAAAATAAAAAAATGTATGTGTCGTGACGTCATAAAAGTTTGAATAAATTTCACATTTTTAACCGATTCTTCTAAAAATTGTTATATCGGTGCACATAGACCACTTCTCTGACATATATTCTGCATTTTTTGACACACTCAAAATTTTGGATTTTATTATTATTTTCCAAAAAATGTCAGTTTTTTTTTAGAAAAAAATGGGCCAAAATCAAAACATTTCAAAAAACCGAGATGGCCATTTGATAGACAAAGTAGAATTACGTATACCTTCATTGAGACATCTTGACTCCTTTAAAAATGAAGATGTTAGCGACGTTTGAAGTTTTGCCGTTTTCGAGGCGAAAATGGCGTGACATGACGTCACTTAAACGTCATTTTCCCAACAAATTTTCGACAGATTTCGCTCAAATTTTCAGGGGACGTGTTATATAGATGTATGATAAGGTACGGAAAGTTTGATGTCGCTGGCGAAACGCGTTTAGAGGTTATTGGCGAAAAACGGGAGGGGGGGGGGAGATTCTGTCCCTCAGCGGGGCGCGGGTTAATAGTCAATACAGTAAATACAATACATAGCACAGTACTGATAGCGTTACCATGAAGGCAAATTTGTAATGTATTTGCGTGGTCGGTATTGATTATTGATTATTATTGATTGTTTTTTATTATTATCCGCCTAAACAACACCCTGGTTGTATTTTCCAAACTGATGGTTTTATGTTTCCTCTAAACTGATGGTTTTTAGCGTGCCAAAGAACTATAACAGTTCGAACTATGTAGAGTCTAGCAGCAGTTACGTCATATAAAGAGCAGCGGACAGTCAACTTTTTGGCTTCCAAGGCCCTCGGCCCTCTCCTTCATTTTTCGCATGATAAGGTATTTTTGTATTTCGGACCTACAGCCTTTGGCATTTCGAATGGTTACCTCTTAACCGGCACGAAGTGGCATAAACTCATCCAGAGCTGCAACAATGGCGCGTCCATCCCTACCGCGGCCACCGGAGAGGAACGTCGCGCCGCTGGCAGCGGACACTGAGCGGACCTGCTGACCGATATACAGCTGACCTGCTGACCGATATACCGACTGAGCAGGGCCCAGTTCATATAGAACCCCTTTGCTACTAAGGGACACTTGTTGGAAAGGGGGACCCGACAGATGGGTTCATACAGCCACCCTTACACACCGGCACCAATGTTACCAAAAGTGTCCCTTTGAAAAGTGGCACTTTACAATAGTGACACTTGCCGACTGGCTTTTCTATATGAACTGAGCCTCAGTCTGCTGACCGACACTGACCTGGCCTTCTGCTCGGCGGCGGCGGCGGCGTCTGCCAGCGGCGGCGCGGCGGCCGCCAGCTCGTGCTGCTCGGCCTCCTCGCTCAGCGAGCCGTGCAGCCGGGTGTCAGCCGGACTGGGAACACAGCAGTCGGGTGTCAGCCGGACTGGGAACACAGCAGCCGGGTGTCAGCCGGGCTGGGAACACAGCAGCCGGATGTCAGCCGTGCTGAGAACACAGCAGCCGGGTGTCAGCCGGACTGGGAACACAGCAGCCGGGTGTCAGCCGGACTGGGAACACAGCAGCCGGGTGTCAGCCGGACTGGGAACACAGCAGCCGGGTGTCAGCCGGACTGGGACACAGCAGTCGGGTGTCAGCCAGACTGGGAACACAGCAGCCGGGTGTCAGCCGGACTGGGAACACAGCAGCCGGGTGCCAGCCGGACTGGGAACACAGCAGCCGGGTGTCAGCAGTGCTGGGAACACAGCAGACGGGTGTCAGCCGTGCTGAGAACACAGCAGCCGGGTGTCAGCCGGACTGGGAACACAGCAGACGGGTGTCAGCCGGACTGGGAACACAGCAGCCGGGTGTCAGCCGGACTGGGACACAGCAGTCGGGTGTCAGCCGGACTGGGAACACAGCAGACGGGTGTCAGCCGGGCTGGGACACAGCAGACGGGTGTCAGTCGGACTGGGACACAGCAGACGGGTGTCAGCCGGACTGGGAACACAGCAGCCGGGTGTCAGCCGGACTGGGAACACAGCAGCCGGGTATCACCCGGACTGGGGACACAGCAGACGGGTGTCAGTCGGACTGGGAACACAGCAGCCGGGTGTCACCCGGACTGGGGACACAGCAGACGGGTGTCAGTCGGACTGGGGACACAACAACCGGGTGTCAGCCGGACTGGGGACACAACAACCGGGTGTCAGCCGGACTGGGACACAGCAGCCGGGTGTCAGCCGGACTGGGGACACAACAACCGGGTGTCAGCCGGGCTGGGAACACAGCAGCCGGGTGTCAGCCGTGCTGAGAACACAGCAGCCGGGTGTCAGCCGGACTGGGAACACAGCAGCCGGGTGTCAGCCGGACTGGGAACACAGCAGCCGGGTGTCAGCCGGACTGGGGACACAGCAGACGGGTGTCAGCCGGACTGGGAACACAGCAGCCGGGTGTCAGCCGGACTGGGAACACAGCAGCCGGGTATCACCCGGACTGGGGACACAGCAGACGGGTGTCAGTCGGACTGGGAACACAACAGTCGGGTGTCAGCCGGACTGGGGACACAGCAGCCGGGTGTCAGCCGGGCTGGGAACACAGCAGCCGGGTGTCAGCCGGACTGGGACACAGCAGCCGGGTGTCAGACGGACTGGGAACACAGCAGTCGGGTGTCAGCCGGACTGGGGACACAACAGTCGGGTGTCAGCCGGACTGGGAACACAGCAGCCGGGTGTCAGCCGGACTGAGAACACAGCAGCCGGGTGTCAGCCGGACTGGGAACACAGCAGCCGGGTGTCAGCCGGACTGGGAACCTAGCAGCCGGGTGTCACCCGGACTGGGGACACAGCAGACGGGTGTCAGCCGGACTGGGAACACAGCAGCCGGGTGTCAGCCGGACTGGGAACACAGCAGCCGGGTGTCACCCGGACTGGGGACACAGCAGACGGGTGTCAGTCGGACTGGGAACACAGCAGTCGGGTGTCAGCCGGACTGGGGACACAGCAGACGGGTGTCAGTCGGACTGGGAACACAGCAGCCGGGTGTCAGCCGGACTGGGAACACAGCAGTCGGGTATCAGCCGGACTGGGAACACAGCAGCCGGGTGTCAGCCGGACTGGGGACACAGCAGACAGGTGTCAGCCGGACTGGGAACACAGCAGCCGGGTGTCAGCCGTGCTGAGAACACAGCAGCCGGGTGTCAGCCGTGCTGAGAACACAGCAGCCGGGTGTCAGCCGTGCTGAGAACACAGCAGCCGGGTGTCAGCCGGACTGGGAACACAGCAGCCGGGTGTCAGCCGGACTGGGAACACAGCAGCCGGGTGTCAGCCGTGCTGAGAACACAGCAGTCGGGTGTCAGCCGGACTGGGAACACAGCAGCCGGGTGTCAGCCGGACTGGGAACACAGCAGACGGGTGTCAGACGGACTGGGAACACAGCAGCCGGGTGTCAGCCGTGCTGGGAACACATCAGCCGGGTGTCAGCCGTGCTGAGAACACAGCAGCCGGGTGTCAGACGGACTGGGAACACAGCAGTCGGGTGTCAGCCGGACTGGGACACACGACCGACGCCTCAGACACACGTTGCCGAGCTACCCAACACAGCCGGCCGTTCAGCTCTCGCCGATCAGCCTCCCGATGAAAGTCCTGTCGTTGGCGGGGACTGGGGCCCCACCTGTCGTTGGGGGGGGGGGACTGGGGCTCCCACCTGTCGTTGGGGGGGGGGCTGGGGCTCCCACCTGTCGTTGGGGGGGGGGGACTGGGGCCCCACCTGTAGTTGGCGGGGACTGGGGCTCCCACCTGTCGTTGGCGGGGACTGGGGCCCCACCTGTCGTTGGCGGGGACTGGGGCCCCACCTGTCGTTGGCGGGGACTGGGGCCCCACTTGTCGTCCTGTCGTCAGTGGGGAAGGACTCCCACCTGTGGTGGTCGGGCAGCGCGGGCGGGCGCGGCGCGGCGGCGCGCCTCCGCCGGCGGCCCGTGCAGGCCACCGTGGGCAATGTGTTGACCAGGCAGCTGACGGGTACCTCCGTCGACACGGTGGTGATGGTCAGCACCGTGGTCGTCGACGTGATGATGTTGCCGATCAGCCGCTGCTGGCGCAGCAGGTCCTCCTCTGCCGCAGACGGAGAGCGCGGTCAGCGCTCCGCGAGCAGGGCGCAGCGGCCCACAGGGATTTCCGCTCGACTAATGTCTTTTTACTTTTAATTTTACGTCTGTGTAAATAATCCTAGGCATACAACTGTAGCAGGGGAGACTGGGGCGCATTCTGTCACATTTTCCAAAATTGGCTCTGCAGGCGCGCACACTTTCAACTGCTGTTGTTTGATATTTTCCTGGTATATTCCTAAGGGCTCCGCCACAGACTTTTGGTGGGGGAAGGGGGGACAATCTGTCCTTCGCCCATCGCCCTAGTGTCTCCTCTAAACCAAGGGTGTCCCCGAATCCAGTTCAGTTTTCTCATCGGATTGAGGCCACTTGTTTTTCGTCATAGTCCTGACACGATAATTTTTTTAACTGAAAAAAAAGAAAGAAAGAAAGAAAGAGAAATGGTATGCCACCTGACCCATGTTTTTATATTAAGTTCTAGCTTCTGCACATTGCCCCACCACACGGAAAAATACTCGAAAAAGCAAATATCATACTTGAATGGCATCTATCTCAAAGTTTTGCGCTGAATCTGAATCTGTTTTAGCATTGGTGGTAGGTCGGGTCAGGTCAGGTCTGGTCTGTCCCACCGGCTAGCCTAAGTAGGGGTCAGCGAGCACGGAAAGCTTCGTAACATGTTGCCTTAGCACCAAAACTACTTTTCAAATATTGAAATGGGTGCTAGATTTGACTAGATATTACATCATTTGTGCTAGAGGGGCATTCCACGTCAAATCGAACAAAAATCGGCTGTTTTGCACCTTACCATCAGCGATTTCATTATAAATTTGTGAGCGAGTTCCTGTGTCGCCCCGAACATTACATTGATGTTTTTTGCACATTCTGATCACAGGTCTTCTAAATGTAGGGCATCGAATTTTTACAAAATGTTGCATCTTTATATTTTTGAACGACCATAACTTTGGTTGTACTTGTTTGATTTGAATGAAATAAACCTTACTGTTTAGGTAATTTCTTAAGCATTTGTTTAGAATTGCACCTACTTAAATATATGACCTTGAAATTTGCTTAACTCTGTTCTTAAAGGGACTATCCCACCTTCTAAAATGTTGTTAAAACCAGTTAAATTGTGCCCGACTTTATAGATTGGATGACCAGGAACACGGTTCTGGCATTTATTTTCCATTAAACATCTTAGGCTTCCCATATTCCAAACACAAACTTTCAAATATGTGACGTCACAGCCCAAAATTACCTCCTTCCCCAGGCCACATTACTGTTATAAAGCTGATTCTTTTTACTCTGTAGGCACCACAACAAAGTTCAGACCAAGTTTTAAGCGATTTTTCAACGAACAAACCCATTTATATCAGAATGACTTAACGAGGTGACGTCACACTAACGGTCGCTCCATGTTGAAGATAGGGCCTTGTACAAGGCCCATTTTCAAATGAAGGGAACGAATTTCTTCAACACCAAGAGGCCGCGGGGGTAGCAACCTAGATAGAAAGTGGTTTCTGAACCTCGCCGCAAACTTGGCTATCTCAACTCAAACCCCATGTTAAAGGTGGGATAGTCCCTTTAAGCACAAAAATTGAAATAGCAAAAAACACGTCACCTTCGACTTGGCTAATTTTCATATATTTTATTGCCTACCATATTCTTAACAACCTGTGCAAAAATTAAAGTGGGCCATTCATAAGTTTTGAAGAAAATGGCACATATGTAAACGTATGTTAGCACGCGCAGTGGAGGGGGAAGAGTGAATTTCGCCCCACCCCTCCTGTTTTTCGCCAATATCTCATAGTATTAATGCGAAATTAATTATGGCTACCTGTCCAAAATTGAATTGCACATCTCATCGTGCAAGCAAGAAGAAAATCGGTTCACAACTGGTCTAGTAATAGCGGTGTAAAGTGAACATCCTGTCGCCGCGGCGACGCGGCGTCTCGGCAGCCGGCGCCGACCGCTAGCCGCCGCCTGAATTGTAGACTGTGCCGGGACGGAACGGAACGGTTCCGTCTTTACATCGCGCTCCTTACCGCTGATTACGTTCGATTCGCGTCAAATTTTGTGAGGAGACTAAGAAATGTACAGGCAATCTTATGGTGTAAGAATTTTGAAAATCGGTTTGTAAACAATTGAAATATGAACGTGTAAACACAAAATTGTGATTGCTGCGTTTCCCGCGTCGGCCGATCCCGCCTGCGAGTTTCCTAAGTGTGGAACTGCCCATACCTACCTAAGGTCTATGATTGGCGCAAGCTTCGCCGAGATGACGTTACAAGCTGTGACGTCATGGCTCACAGTCGGCTGACCAATCGCTGCACGATTATAGGCCAGCGGCGCGCGGCACTAGCGCCCCTGGTGTTATTATGGGAAGTTGAGCAATTACATTAAAATCTAATACATAGCTTGTGTTGGGAACAATTATGCATTACTAAGGCGTCAATGTCTCACAAATTAATTCGTCCATGCTCCTCAAATTTTGCCAAGTGACCTTATATTATGCGTCATAAGGTACTACGCTTCAAACAATCAACACACAGCTGCACCAGCCAGGCACTGTTACAAGTAGCGAGCAGTTAAGTGGCGGCAGGTGGCGCTACCATCTCCAGCATCGGTCCAGATGGCGTCACTCACTATCCGCACTATAGATCCGCACTACCTGCTGATAAAATAAGTAATAAGTCCGCTAATAAATCTGCTAATAATCTCGCTAATAAATCTGCTGATAATGAATTCGCACTACCTGCTAATTTTTGTCCTATTGGTGTCAAACATCATTCAACGCCGATAGGCAGTATCACCAGCCGTAATACCTACCTACCTGCTGAAGACATTTGCTCAATGCTGAAGCGAAACGCAGTGCACAAACCCCACTGTCAAAACACAAGCACCTCGTAGGAGATATGCTTCCAAGGTGGGCGAATGCACGAACGATAACTGAAATAACACCGGTTATATATTCACGTAGAGCGAGTTACTCTTTCTCTAACTAGGGAACTCGCTAAAATTAAGACTGACTAAATATTTACGCAGGATAGCTGGCTCCGCCTCTTCGCCAACTTAAGGACCGGCCAATCCATGCACCTAGCCGCCAGCGCCGAGTGATGACGTCACTCGAACGGGCGACGGCATGAATAGTTCCACACTTAGGAAACTCGCATCCCGCCTCAGCCGGCGACATGTTACTCTTAGCAGGTCTCTAACTGCCATGTTTATTATTGGATTAACTAGAAATTCCTCATACATACTCAAAAATGTATATTCTTTCGTATAGTGAAGATAAAAAGACGTGAAGATATCGTTGCGTGATAATGTTTTCGTTGAATTTTTGGCTTCATGATGCATTTCCACACGGCTCAAAATTCACCGCAAAATACCGTTTGCCTGAGACACTTTTACTATGGAACTTGAATGCTTGACTACGATGACTATGTATTTCCATTCTCGCAGAGTTTGGGATATCACTAATCAGCAATCATTCATTTCAGAAAGTGTACACAAGCATGTCTTGACTGTCTTTCAAGGTCACGCGCGGTTGCGTGATGTTGATGCATGAAAACGGCGTTTGCCGCGAGAGTTGTGAAAGGCCCACTCCAATTTTTTTCACAGATGGTTAGGAACATTGTTACGGACATAATATGTAAAAATTACCCGAATCGAAGGTGACGTGTTTTTTGCTATTTAAATTTTTATGTTTTAATTGAAGGTCAAATGCATTTCAAGGTCACTTTAATTTAATTTTATAATTAAAAATCAAAGCCCTATCAATTGCCTACAAGACCCTGTTAATATCATTTTGATACCAGAAAAGGAACCAGAGTTATAGACATTTAAAAAATTGATGTGTGGCATTTTTGGCTATATTCGATGATCTATATCTCAGCGATACTTTATCAAATTTCAAAAATATTATATCGTAACTCAGTTTTGAACCATGCCCAGTCTGCCTACAAATTTTCAGAAAAATCGAAGGGGATGAAGGATTTCGGTGTTTGATTTGACATGGAATGCCCCTAGATTATCTCCAAAAAGTACCCTAATAGCATGCCTAACTCGACAAAGTGAACCAAAATAATATTAGGTCAATGACCTTGACCTGATATTCACGTGATCTTGATACCGACCATAATGCATAGGACAACCATCATTTCACATGTTGGCATGGTTATATGACATAGAAATTCTGGAAATGCATAGATAATGTGCGCTAACACATACGCCGAATCGCTATTTCGGCGTGACATGGTCTAAAGGAATAAGCCACTGGATGAAGCTTCATGGGGTTAGGGTCATGACGTTTTCAGAGGATGTGTAAAATTGATTATTTCGGGAATGCTAATAGCATCGTAACGATCAGCCACTTTTTACGCGAGTTACGTGCGAAAAAAAATTCTGATGGGTGGGTCAATTCGACCCATGATAAGTGCGAGGGTTAATCTCTGATTTACTGGAAACAAACAGCTTCACTCATCCTGTAGCTCTGAACTATTCTTACTTGACCGATGAAAGTTTCCTCTTACAGAACAAGCTCTCGTTTACCCAGAAGAATAATCCTCCTTCTGTATTAGGTAGGAGGCGGAACGCGGGTGGGGGGGGGGGCACTGGGGCACCGTGCCCCCTTGATTTTGGCATTTTAACATTAGCTCTGGCGTTGCATGGAAAGAATGAGACCAAAAGTCGGCAGTGCCCCCCCCCCCCGTAAATTGAAGGTGTTCCGCCGCTACTGCTTCTTTATGTTAAGCGTCTGATTGATTGGAAGGACGACCCACCGGGACGCCTCCTCAAAAGGATGGAGTTTGTCCCTTCTGGGCGTTATTGCGGTACGAGTCATTTGACCTTATCCTCAGTCCTTTGAGTCAAATGTAATGGCAACAATACAATACAAAAACGATATATTTCGAGCCCTGCTCTTTCTCAATCGGGGTTCGCAGGCTACCTAACCGTAATAACAATGATTTTTCTGATAACGCTTAACTTAATCAAAGACCTTTTGAGCGTCAGTCGATGTTCGATTATAAGTCCAAACTCTGGCCTGAATCCGCTCGTCATTCAAGGTCGTTATAGGTCATTCAATTGTCGTTATAGGGTGGGGTGAGGGATAGGTCGGCCGGGGTGCCCAAGTATCTCCTCCCGGGTAGCCGGATTGCCCCTTCTATTTTTTTTTTGCCATTTTGCCATTCTGGGGTCTTCTATTTTGATTATCATTGTTTTGAATGTATTTTTTCTTTTTAGTTTTCTTTTCTTTCTTTGGCTTTTTGGGTTTCTTTTTGTCCTTGGCTCTAGGGGAAGAGATTTACAATTCATTGAACAGCCCAGTGTTGTGTATGTAGTGGATGAGTAGTGTTGTTAGGTCGGGGTGCAAGTCCCCGAGCAGTGTGCCAGTGTTCTATGCGTCGCTGAATGGTTTGCAGTGCGGTTCGAGTGTTGTTCCATATTGATTGGTAGTGTTTGTGTAGTTGTGCTGAGAGAATAGGTTTGAAGTCGTTGACCGAGAGTGGGATGTGGATTAGCTGTGTTAGCTGGAGTGCACGCTTGGCGTGTGCGTCCGCTTGCGTGTTGCCGGAAATGCCGCAGTGCCCGGGGATCCAGAGAATGATAGGCTGTTGTTCCGAGTCAAGTTGATGTTGCGTGTTTAGAATGTGGTGGATTATAGGATGCGTTCGGGTCATAGTGGTGTGAGTGATTACGCTTCAACCAAACGTATAGCTGAGTAATGCTGGTGCCGAGACCGTTACAAATCTCTTCCGCACCAGTCCAGCCAAAAGCATCACAAGCGCTTTCCTCGGCAACTCCAAATTGACTGCCCATTCAAGGCCATATATAGGAGGTAGAACGGTTAACCGGTTGTTTACATCGGTGACCTTGACAGATGACGTCAGCGGGTGTCTACCAATTTTCGCCAATATTAATCTTCCGAGGATTTTATGCTCTAAGGCAGTTTGATATTAACCTTCAGGCTCCCTTAGAGCCTAAAAAAGATAATTTACTGCACAGCAAAGTCTTAAAAATCGACAAAACTTTGACACCCCGTGACGTCATCTGTCTCCTGAGCCCTCCCTATGTGGCAGCATAGAACCGTAACCCCCTGTGCCCATTTTGCTCTTGTGCAGCGTATGGCGACTGGCGTCTGCACTATTCGAACTCGAGAAGTGTTTTGAAAGAAGTGAAGTGAGAAGTGACCTTCAAGGTCATGGGCCGAAGTCAGATCTTATCGTTTTGGTAGACGAGGTGACAGCAACCACGACCAATCATGTTCCATGACAGCCCGGGATCATACAAAATCTCCAGTGACGGACGACGTTATAAGGAAATCGTGTTCGTGTAATTACTTTCCACCCCGTACGTAACTGCATGTGCATTGTGCAATCACCACTGCAGTCACCAATCACAGTTCTGCATGAGCTGTCCGTTTACGCAGCAGCGGCGCCCGCTCGACTCACCGCTTGTGCTCTCCGCCGCTGAACAGACGGCTCCGAGGGCCGCCACCGCGCACCCCAGCCACCAGAGGTGCATCTTGCCCTGCATCACTGCCGTCCGGACACTGGCGCACCGGCGCCCCCGGCGACCCTTTATCATCGGCACGGGGCGCCTTTTTGCGCCGGCCGATCGGCGCTGTCGCCGTCTGTATTCTGCCGAGGGAGCCGAGGCCGCCAATACCCTGGGTGTATGCCGGGACGGGCCAGCCGAGGCCGCCGATAGCCTGGGTGTATGCCGGGACGGGCCAGCCGAGGCCGCCGATACCCTGGGTATGCCGGGACGGGACACTGGCCAGTGACTGAGATGAGGACTTCAGTGACTCCGGTCGGAATTCCCGGAGACTCCGAAAACCTGTCGACCCTGGCTCACCCCACGACGGAAACATAAAAAAACACATGCAGTAAGTGGGATCCGAACCCACGCTCGGCTACCGTTTGATCCACGGTCTTCTCTGCCCCTGGCTGGCAGAGCACTACACTGAGAACAATATTAAATCGACCTTTTTCAAGCGAGCCCCACACGTAAGCCAAGGGATAAAGTGCCAATATTATTGTGGGAAAAGGTAGCATCAAGCTTCCTCTACAACCTTTCTATCTAGCGTTTTTCGATGCGGAGGCCATAACAGGTCCAAAAAGCATTGGGCGCTGCCCGACGCCCCTCCATTGGGCGCTGCCAAAAGCCCCTCAATGAGAGCACAAGTTCCTGCGCATGCGCACATTGCCTCAACCCTGTACTAGCGTAAATAAGCGATACTGCTCACGGACTCGATCAGCCAATCAGCGTCCCCGATTACATTATTAGATGTCGCTAGCATCATGTAAATCCTGCTTGCGAACACATTTTAAGAATGAAACAGCTGCGCCATTTCTGCCTTCCGTTGATTCCTTCCATCTTAGTATCAACTATACGCTTTTCAACTAGCTTTAGACTACGTTTTAAACTATTGTTAGTATGTTATTTCTGGTACATATATTTTAAAAATAACTGCTTTATGAATTTGGCTTTTCTCTTCAGAATGGAATACTCTATTTTTTCCATATTCAAAAACATATCACCTTCCATATAAATCATCCAGGTAAAATGGGCGCTTTCTGCGTCGTTGGTGTACCCGTTGTTCTATATACCCTGGCTGCATGCACGGTAGGCGATCGCGAAACATAAAACACCGGTCTAGGCTCGCGCACCGGTCTAGCCTCGCTAAACCTAAGACACTTTTCCGAAAATTGGAAAACAACGCATATAAGTCGACAGTAAATTCATCAAAGATTACGCTTATTGCATTTGCATGGCTCAGGAGACATTTTTTTTCGTAGACGAAGGTATCGTTAAAGACAGCGTTCCGTAGCACTCCATAAGGGGGATAATCACAGTTGATTTTTACGCTCTATGAATATTTTGCGTAACGATGAAATTGCTAGGTGTTGAACATCCATTTTGCATGGAAAGTGAAATTTAGACGTTTAGACGATTCCGTCATCAAAAGCAAGTAGACAAAATCAGTTCAAAATGTCTTATAATTAGGTTAACTATTAATTTATAGTCTTTTCTTCCGCCGAACATAACGTTCACTGAATTTACCATGTCCAGCAAAAAAAAAAAAAACGTATTACGAGGAAGAACTGAAAATAATGCTGTATCGCTTGGACTAAGACACCATCTATTAGGGGAGCCAGTGAAAATTTGCAGCCACTTGCAGCCCCGGCATCCAGAAACTTTTTTCTTCTAAGGGTTGGCACATGAGCATAGGGAGTAAATGCCCTAAATGGTTATTTCGCAACAGCTCAAAACACCCCGGCGATAGAGAGCTGCGAGTTGACATACCTGACCTTTTAATATGTGAGATGGTGCTTTTTGCCATGATGAATAGATATAAATATGTAAAAATAATCAATAACATGGCAGAAATGTAAGACTTTTATTGTAAAATAGGCCAAATATGAGAATGAGCTTTCGCTTTACAGCATCATCAGATTCATTATTTTATGACATTTGAAAAATTCTTGCTACACACAAAGTCTATCACGCGCTCAATGTTAGGTGGGAATATCGCAATGCAGATACATCCATTCTTGACACGGACAATTTCGAACATAAATCTTTCAGCACATATGTAGAAGTGTACAAAGGCAAACAATAGGTTAAAGAAACGAGAGGCACGAAAGATATCATTCACATCTAGATATCTGATAGGTAGAAGAGTACTGGGCCGACGAGGAAGCCCGGCTAGCCCGGCGATAGCCTCGTCGGCCCAGTACTCCTCTGGGCCGACGAGGAAGCCCGGCTAGCCCGGCGATAGCCTCGTCGGCCCAGTACTCTTCTACCTATCAGATATCTAGATGTGAATGATATCTTTCGTGCCTCTCGTTTCTTTAACCTATTGTTTGCCTTTGTACACTTCTACATATGTGCTAAAAGATTTATGTTCGAAATTGTCCGTGTCAAGAATGTATGTATCTGCATTGCGATATTCCCACCTAACATTGAGCGCGTGATAGACTTTGTGTGTAGCTAGAATTTTTAAATGTCATAAAATAATGAATATGATGATGCTGTAAAGCGAAAGCTCATTCTCATATTTGGCCTATTTTACACTAAAAGTCTTACATTTCTGCCATGTTATTGATCATTTTTACATATTTATACCTGACCTTTGATGCAAGCTGGATCTTGGGACCTATATACGGCCTTGCTTGGGACACCAACCGCACTTTCAAGTCAGGTCAGGTCACTGTCCTATGACGTCATAAATTAACCTATGCAGCATGCACGGTCCTCGGATGTCGCAACTTTGCAACGCTCTCAGTGCCAGAGTAACTTTCATAGGGAGGTGAAACTTTCAGGACGTCTTATGTCTTCTGTCTGTCCTCTAGAGGTCTTACAATCTTTATATCTCGGATTTTTCCTAAATATCACCTAAGGTCGGGTTGGTCACGTGACTTCACCTGTAAGTCAATGGGAAAATATGAAAACTGTTATTTTGGCGCCATGCAGGAATGATAAAACAATCGTCTCAAGTACATGGAATTGTTATTTCATTCACTCCTTGCAAGATCTGATGCTTCATTTTTGCATTGTTGACCTTGCATGACGTCATTTATGACGTCACTAGGGTCATACGCGTTTTTCGTCAATAACTCCCGATCAAATTGCGCTAGAGTCAACAAAGTCACCAATAGACTCCGAAAGACCTGCCAAATCGAATGCTATGCGATATGACCTCGTTCGACCAAATTCGCGACCTGAAGACCTCTGACCTGACCTTGACCAGGGGTCAACACCTTACGGTGGCCTCGCCTGAACAAAAAGTACACCATTCGACGCGGCTGAGCAAGGCGAACACGACGATATCAAAATCGTGGTTCATCGGCCATTTTTTCCGAAGTTATTTGCCAAAAACCAAACCCGCTGCTTGGGTTACGTTATGAAATGGGGCCTTGCCGGGCGAGGTTTACGCTGTTTCATGATATGCTTAAATGGGCAGGGCATAAATGTTTGAATAAAAATTGTTTTTAAAGCAATTCACTATGAAGGTACACACCATTTGAATGTCTTACCCAACTCATGTCGACTGTCGTCATAAATTTTGACCTATCCTCAAAAGTATTCATTAGTTATTCGAGTGGCAATAAGGCAAATTGCAAGCTCACCACAGAGCACAAATCCTGAAAAAGGTAGTTCTTCTTTGAAACATATGCTTATTAGATCTTCAAGAAGGTTGCTCCTAAATATTGTAGTTCTAGCATAAAAAACATGGATGTTATTAACGGGACATGTTCATGCCTAACATAGGGAATGGAGTTGAGATAGCAGTTTTGCTCCTTATATGCTAAAACCACATAATCCACATTCGTCTCAAAAATATAAATTGACAGCGCTAGAGAGCAATTTCGATGGTTTTACCAGATCGCCAAGGTCTTTACCAGATATGACCAGAGGTGTATGACGTTAGCAAGAAAAAGCCTAGATTTCAAGTTAACGGGAACGAATTCTCCTAACAGAGGCCTCTTGCACCAAAATACCTAGCTAGGTAGAATCGGCAAAATACCTACCTAGTAAAACTACCTACGGCGGTAACTTCTCTTGCACCATCCTACCTACCTGCCTAGGTAAATTTGACAGCTCGCGTTTTTAGGATTTGTTTTGATTGGCTGTTTGGGGACGAATTATTTGTGGGCGCAAACAAATAGTAACTAAAGAAAACAATTAAATGCATATTGTTTTTATTAATATACATTTTGGTATATACATTTTGGTATTATGAAATCATTTTTCATTTACGTAAATACCGATAGAAGTTATTTTCATATTAAATTGCTTGAACAAATAAGCTTCGTTTCCATGGCAACGAGTGAGTCTTCACCCTGGCTGTTCTGCTACGGAGGTTTATCGCCTTGGTACGGAGAAGCACCTCTGTGAACCCATGGAGCATTTGGTCAATTATATTATTATTCACTCATAAAACATTGATTTATCATTGCCTAAACATTTCGTAATGCCTAATCTACATAAAAGTACCCGTGAATTATCATGTATTGTGCCTATTGTTACTAATTGAATCATTTTACCTAAGGTTTTGCTAGTTATTTTGGAAGCCCACGTTTACCGTCAAACCGTTAAAAATTCCTCCGCGAGTTCTTCTTTCCGGCTTTCGGTGCAAGAGGAAAACAGCCGGTCGGACTTTAACAATTGGTAAGTTTTTATGCCGCTCGGTAGAATTTCTAGGTAAATTTTCACGGTAGCGTTTTTTGGTTTTTTGGTAGGTAGTTAAGTGCAAGAGAATCTAGGTAAAATCTGAATTTACCTAGGTAGGTAGTTTGGTGCAAGAGGCCTCTGATTGGTCTTTTTAAAAATTGTGTTCAAGATTGTCCGCAAGCAGCATGTTGAGACGACGCGGGCGCGTATTTACAAATTGCAACCGAGCTCCGCCGTGGGGTAAGGTGGGCAGGGGTTTTCGCACTACGGCTGCGGTTGAACTACCGTCTGTGGTAGAAACTTCAGGATGATGGCGCGTTTCATACGAAATCTGGCGCAACGTTTATTTGCTTCTGAATTTGTAATGTTATTGCTGCGAACTC